TTTGATACAGTCTCACTATGTAGTTGAGACTGACCTGGAACTCACTATGTAGCCCAGGCTGGTCTTGAACTCACAGGGATCCTCCTGCCTCAGCCTCCCGAGTGCTGGGATGACAGGCATGCACCACCACACCCGGCTTCCTATTTTCTTTAATAATTTTTATTTTTATTTTGTGCAACACTAGGGATGGAGCCCAAGGCTTTGCACTGAGATATAAAGCCAGGTCTTTTTCTTTTTTTTTCTTTTTTTCTTCTTTTTGAGAGACATTCTCAATAACTAGCTAAATTGCCCAGGCTGGGCTTGGAACTTGGGATCCTCTTGCCTTAGCCTGCTTGAGTGCTGAGTGCCCAGGTGTGCACTGTTATGCCTAGCTTAACAAGGTGCTATGAGGGCCGGGGATTTAGCTCAGTGGTTCTGCCACCTGCCTCGCAAGCCCAAAGACCTGAGTTTGATCCCTGGTGTCCAAAACAAAAACAAACAAACAAGGTGCTATGATTTTTTTGGTGTCAGTATGTTTTAACACAACTATCCAGCGAACCTGAGTATGGTCGTACGTGCCTAGAATCATAGCTCCTTAGCAAGGTGAGGCAGGAAGATCATAAATTTGAGGTCAACCTGGGCAAATTATTGAGAGTCTGCCTCAAGATAAAATAGAAAAGGCTGAGATGTAGCTCAGTAGTACAGCACTTGCCTACTGTGCTTGAGGTCCTGAGTGCAGTGCTCAGTACTTGAAACAAACAAATATCCTGGGACCAATTGTTCAATCGGATCATCTAAGCGACAGGTTGTTCACAACACGTGTCCTTTTATTCATGTATTATTTGTGGCTCCGGGAACAGAATTCAGGGGTGCTCTGCCACTCAAATATACTTGCAGCTATTTTGAGACAGGGACTTGCTGAGTGGCCCAGGTGGACCTGAAACTTCTGATCCTTTTGCCTCGGCCTCGCTTAGCGCTGGGATTACTAAGGCTAGCTTTAACATTTTGTTTGTTTCAGAACCTTTCCTGGAGAGGTCACTGGCAGCAAGATAAGAAGCACCTCAGTTCTCCTGGTTGCTGTCAGGGTTGTATTAACTTGCAGACTTGCAGGATGGCAGCTGCAAATCCATCCATCATACCTGGTAAGTTCCGGGGTAGTTTCCCTTCCGCTGGTAGAAGGGGCACCTCCTCCATGGAAGAGGAATAGATAAGAGGGGCTGACGTGAGAGGAGGGGGTAGAGCTCCACCAGCACTTGGAGCCCTGCGGTTTGCTCGTGTCTGAGTCACTGCCCTTTAGGATTATGGAGTAAAACGGTGTACAGGGACGGAAGGGCAGAAATCGTAGAGATGGTAGGAACTGCGCTTCCCAGTAGATGTTTAAAATGAAATCGGGGAGGATACCAACTCCACCCTCCTGAAGTCAAACTGTCTTGTGCGTCAGCTTTCCCTCCGCTGGGACCCGATCCCCAATACCCACAACTAAAAGGAGGCGAGGTTTCATCTGTCTCACAGTTTCGGGGGATTCAGTCCATGGTTAGCTGGCGCCCTGGCGGGAACATGGTGATAGAAGGGCCTGGCGTACAAAGATGCTTGGTTCATGGTGGCTGTGAAGATGAGCAGGGGCGCTGTGCCCGAGTCTCGCGTCCTTCGCCTGCCCTTCACACTTATCCAGAAGTGAGCTAATCCGCTGAGCGCATCTCATAATTCAATTAAGTCGACACGTCACAATTATTGGTCACACTTGGTCTAAGAAAATTGAAACTGTACATTCATTCCCCATGGGGACTGTGACGTCTTCTCTCCTCTCACTCTACCTGTTCAAGTCCCTGCGTGTGCACATCAGAGAGTCACAGACATGGAAAACACCCACTGGGAGTCACAGGTGAGTCAAGCTGTTTTCTTCTTTTTCTTTTTTTTTTTAATTAGCACAGGTTTCCAGCACATAATGATTACATTCATCATGGGGAGTTGGTACATGGCTGTATCACATCCTAATTTTTTACAGCCTCTTCCCCTCTAATATCCTCCCCCTTCCAAGATGTTTTCTTTCTTAAGAATACGTTCCTGGGCCAGGGACTTAGCTCAGTGGTCCTGCTCCCTGCCTTGTAACTACAAGGTCCTGAGTTCAATCTCTGGTACAAAAAAAAAAAAAAAAGAATACATTCCTGTCCTAGAATGAATGTGACTCCCAACACTCACGGCTCAGCCTGCATTTCAGACCTTCGGCAGTGAGGTTCAGCATCTTCAATAAGATGTTACCACTGCTTGCAATATGCCTCTTGCTCAGTACCTTTAGGGAAATTCAGTGAAATATACAAGACTTCCCTAGACACAAAAAACATGTGCTCATTCTGGGAGAAATGATTTATCACAAAGCATGTGCTCAGGTCTTACGTTGGACCCTGGAGGTGGGACAGAGTGAGGCCTGTAAAAGGTCTCAGGCTAGAGGTGAAGACATGAAAGCCTGCATTTCATCATGTAGTATGGACGGTTTAAATCCCTTTTTGCATATGCGTTGGTGGGAATTGAACCCAGGGCCAACTACATTGCTCGGGAGCACCGAGTTATACCCCCAACCTTTTTAACTTTGAGAGTCTTGCCAAGTGGCCCAGAGTAGCCTTGAACTTGCAGTCCTCCTGCTTCATCCTCTCCTCTAGCTAGGATTAGAGACATGGGCCACCCTATTCGGCTGCCATGCTGCTTTAAATCCTGGACACGGGGGCCGGGAGTGGTGGTGCACCCTTGTAATTGCACAACCCAGGAGGCTGAGGCAGGAGATCACTGAGTTCAAGGTCATCCGGGGCCCCATGGTGAGTTCAAGGCCAGCCTGAACTAGATAGATAGATAGATAGATAGATGATAGATAGATAGATAGATAGATATAGATAGATAGATAGATAGATAGATAGATAGATAGCGAGACAAAAATTTAAAAAACAAAAAAGAAAGAAAGAAAAAGTTCTGAGGGCCCAGCCTGGATTAACTCAGTCCCATCTGCAGTCACTGTGAAGCAGGTCTTTCACCGCTGCAGTTGTTGCTCAAAACCTTCCCAGGAACAATAGTGGGGTTACCCAGTGGTTTATACCCATGTGCTGGTGTTCCAGAACTTGGTAACCTTCGAGGATGTGGCCATAGACTTCACCAGAGGGGAGTGGAAATTGCTGGACCCATCTGAGAGAGAACTCTACCGAGATGTGATGCTGGAGAACTACAGAAACTTGGCTTCCCTGGGTAAGGCTAACACCACCTCTTTGTTTATTCACTGATCTTGAGCATGGGTTTCTGGGATGAGAGAGTCCCGACCACCTTGTGCCGTCGATTGTCCATGGGTTTTACTTTTTGCAATACTGAAGCTTGATCCCAGGGCCTTGCACATGCTAGACAGCAGTCGTACTGCTAAGCCACACCCCAGCCCTGAAAGGTAGTTTGCTTAAAATTACTGCTCTTAATTTTAAGCCTGACTTCTGAGGGATCATCCTCAGTGCCTTATGGTTTCTGCCAATGCACAGTAAAGTGATTTTTTAAAAATTTATCCTGAGTCTTTGTGATGCCTTGATGCTTCTGGTGACATAAGACAAGGTCCACTTCTACTCTCTGCTTGAGATGGGTCTTAGGATCAGTTAAAGGAGAGTGACAGGATTTCTTCTGTCCTCGGTCTTCATGGTCACCTGCACAACCTTTTATACCTCAGAAACCTGGAGCTTCCCAACATCTCTATGATTGTCTAGTTCTCCGTGCTGTCCTTTTTTTTTTTTTTTGGTAGAAGAATTCGATCTCAGGACCTTGCACTTGTATGGCAGGTGCAGAGCTGCAGAGCCAAATCCCGGGCATTTTTAATAATTCTTATTTATTTATTTATTCTGTGATTTCTTTGTAAACTCTCCATCAGCATTAAGTGAAATCATAGCCTGTAAGTACCTGGCCATGTTGCTAAAGGGTTATCTTTCATTTGGCAAAACAGGCAAACTCTTATCATTTGACTGAAGATTTTCTTTTTGTTTTTGAGGCAAGATCTTTCTGTGTTGTCCAGGCTTGCTTGTCCTGAAGTCTTGATTGACCTGCCTTATTCTCCTTGGTAACTAGGACTGTAGGCATGTGTCACTCCACCTGGCTGATGTACAATTTTGATTTGACAGTGGTATAGAAGAGGTACCGATTTAGTGGCAACCATACTTTGAAAGAATTTTGATCTTTCCTTGCTCTATGACATTCAGGGTGGTAATTCTCATACATATAAGGTCAGAGAGCTGCACCTGTGAGTGAACAATGCAATCAGGAGGATACACAGCCAATCAGTATTGTGTGCCTTTCGGGTTGCCACCATTTTTGTGATACAGGTACACGTGAAGCACTCATAATCCCCAAATCTGAATCCAAAATGATCTCCAGAGTCTGAACATTATGAACCTCACATTAGGGCAGAAGTTTTGGATTTTAGAGCATTTTAGATAATAATTTTTTGGATTAGAGATGCCCAGCTTCTAAAGTGTACAAACATTCCCAAATCCAAAAGATTCCATGTTCTGAAATGTTTTAATTCTGCACATTTTTTTGATTAGGGATGAGAACATGTATTCGATCAATTACATGGGATATATACTGCTTTGTTTTAAAATAGAAATTTTTCATTGTTTATTTATTTACTCTTTATTTTATTATTTTTTGAAATTTTTATTCTTTTTGGTACCAGGGATTGAACTCGGGTCCTTGGGCTTGCGAGGCAGGTGGTGGAACCACTGAGCTAAATCGCCGGCCCTTACTTACTTAGTGACATTGAGACAAGTTCTCACTATATAGTTCAGGCTGGCCTGGAACTCACTATGTAGCCTAGAGTGGCCTCAATCTTATAGCAATCCTCCTGTCTCAGCCTCCCAAGTGCTTAGATTACAGCCATGTGCTACCACACCTGGCTTATTTTTGAAACATCGCATTTTCAATTCATGATGAGTTTTACTGGAACACACCCCTAATATAAATTGAGAAGCATCTCTACTTTGAAGGTAAAGATTTTTTTTCTTGTTGAGTTCTGAGTAAAATTAAATAGTGGTGGTAATCTGAAAATAGAAATTCTCTAGGCAGCTAGGCGTCCAGAAAAAAAAAATCCATGCTTACTTTATTATCATTATTGTTAGGATTATTAAATATGGTCTTGTAGTCTGGGCTGGGTTGAATTCATAATCTTCCAGCTTCTGCCTCCAAAGTGCTGGAATCAGAAGCATGCACCACCATGCCCGAGTTTGGTGCTTTTAACAGAGCTAAAGCAGCCACCTCCGTGTCGACTTCGATGGTGCTGGTTTTTGGCTATGACTCCGCTGATATGGGGAAGGAGGAGGAACAAGAAACAGGGGACCGAATCTCAGTCTTCACAGGTTCCACATCAATGGATTCAACCAACTGCCGATCAAATATGCTTGAAAATAGCTTGTCCCGAATATATTTTTTTCTTAACGTAATCGCCTAATCAGTGCAGCATAACATTGTTTATGTTGCATTAGGTTAGTATAAGTTACGTAAAGATCAAGGGTATGAGAGGCTGGGCCCTCATAGCTGATGTACAAATACTGGGCCTGTGCATCTGCAGACATTATATTTAGTGGCAAACTTCTAAGGACACCAACGTATTACTGTGATCTCAGATTCAACTGTCAAAGAACCTGCTCTCTCACAAAAATTCGGTAATTTCTCTTGACTCCTTACTTTTCTATTTGTTCTGTGATTTTAGTTAATTCCCAGAGATCTGAAGGAGTTGATTTTAATTGTTTCATCTACTATTTCTTGGTGGCAAAGGGAGCTAACCAAGTCTTTCATTGTCCCATTCCTTATTATTACTGTTTTTTGAGATGATATTTTACGTTTTCCCTACTGGTGTCCAACTCTTGGGCTTACGTGACACTCCTGCCTCAGTCTCCTGAATGCTGGTGTTACAGGCATACACCACCATGCCTGGCCCATTTTGTGACTCCTAAACACATAGTTGACCCACCTCTAGAGCCTCAAAGATTCAGTTGCCACGTTGTCTTGGAAGTTGTTTGCATTGTACTTTCCTCTCTTGTGTTTCGTTCTTCATCATAGGACACCAGCTCTGCAAACCTACTCTGATCTCCCAGCTGGAGCAGGAGCAGGAGCCGGAGACTGCAGAGAGAAAACTTCACCAAGACCCTTGTTCAGGTGAGCAGCTGGCGTATGAGTGTTTGGAGTAACAGCTCTGGTTGAGAAAGGTGCTCATGATTTTTTTTTTTAATAACCTTTAAGTTCAAGAAGTGCGTTGACTTTTTGTTGCCATGACCAAACACCTGAGAAAAACAACTTAGAGGACAAGTTTACTTTGGCTCAGGGTTTCAGGCCACGGTCAGCAGGCTCCTTTATGCTCCTGGTGAAGGAGAAACATTGTGTCAGAAAGGCACATGGTTGGAAAGCTGCTTACCTCAAGGAACCCAGAAAGCAGAAAGGGAAAAACCCAGAGAGGAAAGGAGCAGGGATGATACAGTCCTCAAAGATACATCTCCACGACCCATCCCTTTTACCTAAGTGCCCATCACCTCCTAAATATGCCATGAAATCACGACCTGGTTGATGGATTAGTCACGGATGAGTTACAGTCCTCATCAGTTCATCACCATCCAAAACCTCTACCTCCGAAGGCAGGAGACCTTTAGGGGGACATTGTCGATTTAAACTACAATCAGGAGAAAGTACAGGACCTTTGGTATGCGTTTCTTCACGAAGCTTCAGCTTTCTGTGGTCTTTCATCTTTAATCTATCATTTTCTGCTTTCCTGTGATCTGAGAGAAAAATCTGTCTCCCCTTGTAGCACTTGCATTTGGAGCCCTTGCCTCGTTTTCATTTTGCATAGCTCAGAACAGCTTCTGTCTATCATTTTCACTCCTACTGGAATCGTTCCTTAAGTGTTGCATCACATACTGAATCATCCAAACGTCACTGAACCTGAACCTGTTCTTTCATGTTCTCGCAAAGTTCCAGGTCAGTATTGGTGGAGAGATCCACACAGGCCTTACTCTTTTGCTGTCGTCACCTCCCTGTTTCATACTCTAGCAACTGCAAGTTGGGTTTGCAGTTGTTTCAGGTTGGGTTCGTGTTTTACCTGCCACTTGTTAGCATTGTACATGAATCCGCTGTTAAGTAGGCGTGGTTTCACTTCCTGAGGATTTGGTATGCACAGTCAACTGTGGTCTGAAAATATTAAACGGAGAATTCCAGAAACAGGGTTGGGGATGTAACTCAGTGACAGCACACTTGCCACTTAGGCACAAGACCTAAATTCATCCTCGGTACTGGAAGAAAAATGAAAAACAAGGAGAAGGCATAAAGGAGCGTAGTGTGTTGTCTGGTGAGGTGCGGGCATGGGCTTAAGCCAGGCTTGTTCAACCCATGGCCTGCTTGCCCTCTTTAATTTTACAGTAGTAGAGATTGAGCCCAGGGGCCTTTTCAGTGAGCTACATACCCATTCCATTTTTAATTTTTTTAAAATTTAGAGACAGGGTCTTACTAAAATCATTTAATAGCACAGGGTGGTCTTAAACTTATGATCTTCTTGCTGCCCCCTTTTTTAAATGTTAGAATAGAAATGATTTAAAAAGAAATTCTGTTACTTATACTCATGAACTATATTGGATATTTTACATGAGGCTCAAAATGTTCCTCTTTACTCGGGGGGGATCCAGGCAAACCAAAAGACAGGACACCTCCGGTTACTATATTTCTCCTGGGGTCCTTATAACTTCATGACAGCATTATTACAGTGCCCTGACTCTGGCCCTGTTGAGGCTGTCTGTGGCTTCCTGTTCAAAATGTGACCCTGCCTACTGTTGCTATTGACCAAAAGGTGAGACAGCCGCAGCCTGAGGAAACCATCACCAGATTTTTGTCCTACTCTGGATGCTCATCCTCCCAAACTGTGGGCTAACTATAAAGGTAGCTTGACTCTGGTATTTTATTATAGTGATGAAAAGCTGCCTAGCACAGGCAGCACCTCTAGACTGTGAGTGTGATACTACTGTGTGTGAATAGAGCCTCGTCTTCTCCCCTCCAGTGCCTGTCCTCCAGGGCTTTCCTCAAGCCCCTGCTTGTGTACATCAGAGAAACACTGCATCACAGGTGAGTCGTGATTTCTTTCCTTTCTTTCTTTGGTTAGTCCTGTTGCTTAGTGTTAGGTAAAGTAACAGAGTCTACAAGCTCAAATGTGGTGGCCTGGAACACGCAGCAAGACTCTGTCTCAAAAGAACAATGAAAGCAACCAGCAGCCAAAGAAGTAAACAAATAAAATGCAAGAAGGATGCTGCAGGACTGTCGTATGGACATTCTGGGGGGAATGATTTATTCACAAAGCTTGTAATTTCTCTCATGCTCGTTTTGTGCTCAGGTCCCAGTTGGACCAGGGAGGTGGCTGATAGCAGATTAACCCGAGTGTAAGCTCTCAAGAGTGCAGAGGGGGATATCGTTGTGTGATAAGATGCTTGGAATGCTGGAGACCTGCTGGGATCACTGAGGCAGTGAACACAAACGTGGAAAGGGGCTGAGTCTTGGATGAACCCAGCGCCATCTGCGGTCAATGGCGGGGCTGCCCAGTGGTTCACACCAATGTGTTGGGGTTCTAGACCTTGGTAACCTTCCGGGATGTGGCCGTAGACTTCACCAGAGGGGAGTGGAAATTGCTGGACCCACCTGAGAGAGAACGCTACCGAGATGTGATGCTGGAGAACTATGGAAACTTGGCTTCCCTGGGTAAGGCTGACACCAGCTCTGCATTTATGCATTGATCTTGAGCATGAGTCCCGATCATCCTTGTGGTATAGGTTAGGTTTTTATGGTCGGGTTTTGTTTTACAGTACTGGAGATTGAACCCCAAGCCTCCTACATGCCAAGCAAGGGCTCTGACACTCAGCTATATCCCCAGTGGACTATATTTTTAGAATATTTTTAGTGTACAAAATATTTTTCCCGGGTATGTTGACAAAGTTGTGCAAGTATCACCCCTGTCCAATTTAAGGATATTTTCATTGTCCCGCCCCAAAGAAAGCCTGTATCTGTTCAGAGTCACACCCTGTTTCCCCATGCCTACAACCTCTGATAAGTGCTGCTCTCCTTCATCTCTACAGATTTGCCTGTGGAAGACATTTCACAGGAACAGAATCATATAACATATGTTCTTTTGTTACTGGCTTCTTTCATGTAGCAAGTTTTCAAGGTTTATCCAGGTTGTAGCACGTACAACTCATTCCTCTTTATTACGGAATAATCTTCTTTCATATTGACATACCACTTTTTAATCAATTCATTATTGATCGACATTTGAGTTCTTTATACTTTCCTGGTACTAAGAATAGCGCTACTAGGAACATTCATTTATGGGTTTTTATTTGTTTTGTGTTTTGTTTTTGAGACAGGGTCTCACTATGTAGTTGAGACTGACCTGGAACTCACTATGTAGCCCAGGCTGGTCTCGAACTCACAGCGATCCTCCTATCTCAGCCTCCCGAGTGCTGGGATTAAAGGTGTGCCCCAGCATGCCCAGCTGAGTTTTTGTATAGGTATTTATTTTTTACCTTTATTTTTTTTAGACAGTCTTGCTATGTAGTTCAGACTGTCCTTGAACTTACCATGTGTTCAGGGTGGCATCAATCACAGCAATCCTCAGCCTCCTGAGTACTGGGTTTATGAACATAAGAAATTTCGCCTGGTTTTGTTTATTTATTTATTTTGGGTTTTTTTTTGTTGTTTTGTTTTTTTGAGACGGGGTCTCACTATGTAGTTGGGGCTGACTGGAACTCACTATGTAGCCCAGGTTGGTCTTGAACTCACAGAGATCCTCCTGCCTCAGCCTCCTGAGTGCTGGGATTATAGGCATGTGCCATAAAGCCTGGCTTGCCTGGTTTATTTTTTATATTGCGTCTTGCTAAATTGCTGAGGCTGGGCTTGAACTTGTGACCCTATTGCCTTAGCCTCCCAGAGTACTGGGGTTACAGTTCTGTGCTTTTATACCCAGCTACTTTAGCATTTTTTAAATCAGTGCCTGATAGTAATACAGAATAATGAAATTTGTTTTGATCACTGGTGCATACATATAACATATATTACTTTCATCCCTGTCACCCCGTCTTCTCTTGCTCTCTCTTCCTCTCCTCTTCCTTCTCTAGGGGAAAATTGTCTATCTTTTACTTTCCTGGACATAGGTTTTGATTTTTCTTGCATATATGCCAACGTGTGGAACTATCTTGATTTTTAAATTTTTTTTAATTAAATTATTTTTTTAGTACTGGGGATTGAGCGTGGGTTCTTGCACTTGCGAAGCAGAAGCCAGAACCACTGAGCTAAATCCCCAGCCCATATGTTTAACATGTTGAAGGGCTAGTCAAACTCTTTTTGCAAATGGACTATTTACATCCCCTCCAGCAATGGGTAAAGATTCAAAATTCTCCACATTCTTTTTTTTAATTAAGTTTTTTTCAGTCCATTTTTACAGTATACAATGATTACAATCATTGTGGGGAGTTGGTACATATACATGACACATCTTAATTCTTTTATTTAAAATTTTTTGTATAGCTCCTTTCCAAATTCTTCACATTCTTCTCCATACTTACCAAGTGGTATTTGATTGTGTCTTGATTTGTGTTCATCTAGTGACTAATGAGATCAAGCATCTTTTCACATGTTCATTGGCTGGACGTATAGCTTCTTTAGAGAAATGTCTGCTCAAATTCGTGACCCATTATTAAATTGGATTGACTTTTTCACTGACTGAAAATGGTCCTGCATTTCTAGATACAAAACACTTGTCAGATTCATGGTTTCAAAATGGTTTCTGTTGTTTTGTGCGTGTTGTCTTATTGCTCTCTGATTTATCTGTTTTCTGGACTCTTAATTCCGTTTCACTTGTTCACGTGTCAGTCCTTATGCCAGCGCCATTATGTGGATTACTGTACCTTTGTAGTAAAGTTTGAAATTGGAAATGTAAATGCTCCCTTGGTGTTTTGTTTTGTTTAAGATTATTTTGCCTATTCTAGATTCCCTTGCATTTCCCCGTGAATTTCAGAGTCAGATTTCAGCTTCTCGAAAGAATCTGTACAGAATTTTTTTTGGTTCCAGGGATGGAACTCAGGACCTTGTACTTCTCAGGCAGCTGTGGTGGTACTGAGCTAAAATCGCCAGCCCAGGAGACAGGATCTTGCTAACTTGTGCTCAATTTGTGCTCCTCTTGCCTCAGCCTCAGAGTTCTGGGGTTACAAGTGTGCGCCACCACACCTGACTCCTAGTGGGATTTCAGGAAAGATCACGTTGGGCCAGGGATGCAGGTCAGCATAGAGTTCTTGACTGGTATGTGGCAGGGCCTGGGTTTGATCCCCAGTGTTGCACCCAAAACAAAACCAAATAAAAAGGTTGAATCTGTTGATCAGTCTGGTTAGTATTGCCGTCTTAGTAATATTTAAGGCTGAAGCCTAATATTCAATAATAGTTTTCCACTCTTTGAATGCAGGTTGTCCTTTAAGTGATTTAGCTGTCCTTTAATTCCCATTGGCACTTTGCTTTATTTTCCCCCTGGTGGATGCTGCCGTGTGAAGCCAGGTCTTCTGTGTGCCAGAGGTGAATTCGATGAGGGAGCTACACTCCCAGGACACTTAACAATTTTTTTCTTTTTTTAGATTTCAGTCTCTGTGCCTTAATTTTTTGGTTGTTAAGCAGTACTAGAATTGAACCCAGAAGTGTTTTACCACTGAGCTACCTTCCCACCCCTTTGTATTTTTATTTTGAGACAAGATTTGTTAAGTGCCTATGCTGGGCTCGAACTTGCAATCCTCCTGACTCAGTTTCACGAGTAACTGGGATAACAGACATGGGCAACTATCCCTGATTTGTCATGTATTTCTATTTTAGTTTTGTTTTTAAGTTATTTCCTTCTTTTGGGAGGGTGGTGGTTGAGAGAGGGTCTCATTATATAGTCCAGGCTTGACCTTAAACCCTTGGCAATCCTCCTGCCTCAGCCTCCTGAATGGTAGAATTACAGGCCTGCACCACCACACACAGCTTCGAAGTAGTTTCTTTCTGATGCTATTGTCAGGGAATTGTTCTTTTAATTTCACTCTTATTTTTATCTACTGGCATATGTTTGTGTTTTATTACAAATACATCTATGGTGAGGAATTGGTACATATACATATTGTTTCTTAATTGCTTCATTTTCCTGTCTCCTGGTCCCCATTCCATACCCCCTTCACACCTCCACAAAGTTTACCTCTATTTCCTATCATCTCTCTTTTATCTTGCTCTTTAAATTATTTATGCTTTGGGTTTCTAATGTCAAAGAAACCATGGGATATTTAACTTTTTTTTTGTTAGACAGGTCTCTCTGTGCAGTTCAGGCTGGCCCTGAATTCACTATGTAACCCAGGAGGGCAAACAGGCAGTGATCCTCCTGCCTCAGCCTCCCAAGTGCTGGAATGATAGGTCGTTTTTTGGAACGGGGTCTCCTTCACACGAGCAAGGGCCCAAGTTCGATCCCCAGCACCCCACCCCAACCCCCCAAAAAACAGAAAAGAAACAAGGTCTTACTATGTACTTTAGGCTGAACTTGAACTCATTATGTAGCCCAGAGCTGGAGATAATCCACCGAATTAGTCTCCGTTCTGTTTTTCCCTTTGTGAAGTGTATCATGCTATACACCCTGTCCGCATTATCACGTCTACTGCTGTAGAATCACAGTTCTTGTGTTCACGTGATCTGCATTTTATTTGACAATGTATAAGACACATGATGCTATCTATTTGGGTATGTGGAAGTGAAAAAGTAAAAGCTTATCCTACGTATGTATATGTGTAGAGACTAGGAAAGAATCTAGTCTGAGGAGACCTCGGTAGCATCCATAGTTTCAAGCATCCCCTAGGTGTCTTGAAACTTATTCCCTACAGATCCTGCTGTTTCACTATTTCTTTTCAAAAATCTAACTTTTTTCCAGATGTGATACTTTTGCCGCCAGCCAACCGGCCACAACCTATCCGAGAAAGCTCAGAAAGACAAAGAGTGAGTGACAGGAAGGTAAGATTCCTGTGGCGTAATTTCCTGCCCTCCACATTCAACGTCTTGAAATCCCAGTAGTAGAAAATGAACCTGGGAAGTAGAGGGTAGTTAAAAGGAAATGTCATTCTACTTTTACCACAGAAAGCAAGAGATTCTCTAAACATTCATGTAAAGAAAACTTATATCTCTATGCAAATGGTGAATGGAGAACTTCCAAAATATTTCCATAGAATATTTCCATTAGATATTCAGTGTTGAAAATGGAAGTTAGTATAAAGTGATTCTGCGTTAAAACTCTGCGTCTGATGCAAGCACTTGATGTATCATTGAGCTCATTCTAATGAGTAAACTCAAGTAAGTGCGAAACTAGGCAGATGCACAGAGAAGATAATTAGGTAAACTCTAATCTTAATACAGTGCTTTTTGTTTGTTTGTTTGCTTGTTTTGCAGTACAGGGGATTGAACCTAGTGCTGTATACAGAGCTACATCCGCAACCTTTTTTTCAACTTTTATCTTTATTTTTCATTTTATTTTTCAATTGTATTTATTTATTTATTTTCATTTTGGGGGCACAAGCTTGCTAATATATGGCCCAAGCCGGGTTCCAGTTTGTGATTCTGCAACATTACCCTCCCAGAGTGTGGGATTACAGGGCTGTGCCAGCACGCCTGGATAATAAAGTATTTCTTTAAACATAAGAGAATATTTTTTTTTTGTGATGCTGGGAATCCACCCTGAGTCTTTGTGTGCTCTGTGCAAGTGATCTTCCACTAAGCTACTTGGATAACCCCTACCTAGTAGAATTTATATGGGAAGGGAACCAAGACAACATAACGAATGTGGTCAAGCCTATGGTGACTGCTCATTTTAATCAATGGAAGCCAGCATGTGGAGGGAACCCCACTAAGTGTCACATAGTTGATGAAGTCTTGCACAGAAAGTCTCACATTGCTCAGAACAAACAAGTTCATGCTAGAGGGAAATCTCCTCTGTCCCTCGCATCTGAGAACCATCTCGGAGATTTTCCCATGTGTGGAACCACACAGGAGAATTAACTTTGGGGAAAAATCCAATAAAGGTCACAAAAGTGATGTAAAATGGCATCCACCCATCACGAGGCTCTTCAAGAACAGAAGAAAGCAGAATTCTATGAATGGAGTATCTGTGAGAGCATCGTCAGTTGCAGCTTATACGTTCACAAGCATGAGGAAAATCACAGCAGAAGAAAACCTCTTCAATGAGACCGATGTGGGAAACCACTCCCAAGTCACTCATACATGAAGATTGCACACTGGGGAAAAACCTTTTCCACGTGATCAATGTGGAAAAGCATTCTGCTCAGACTCTTACCTTCTGTGACACGAGAGGATTCATAATGGCGAGATACCTTATGAATGCAACGATCGTGGAAAATTCTTTAGAGATAGGTCACTTCTTAGACAACATGAATACATTCAAAATGAAAACAGAATACATGTAATGAATGTGGCAGATGCTTTCTTGGGAGTTCTAGGATTGCCATGCAGAAGCTAATACGTATTGGAGAGAAACTATAGATTCAGTGATTGTGGGCAAACCTTTACTATGCTTGCAAATCTTACAAATCATAGGAGAGTCCACGCTGAAGAGAAATTCATGGGATGTAGCCTTTGTGGAAAACTATTAAGTAGTGAGTCATCCCTTAGGATGCATGCGAGGATACGTACTGGAGAAATAGCTCTCACATGTGATCAATGTGGGAAAACATTTAGACCCAACTCTAGTGTTACTCTACACAAAAAACTCATACCAAAGAGAAGCCCTGTAAATGCAGTGGATGTGGGAAAGCCTTCAGGGACAACGTGTGTCTTAAATGTATCTTAAAGGACACATGCAGATGCACAGTGGAGAAAAGCCCTTTGAGATGTAAGAAGCATTCAGCATAAAAGTTTACCTTGTTTCTCACAGGGAAATTCACATGATAAACAAATGATATGAATGTAAGAAATGTGAGAAAACTCAGAAGGATCTCATCTTGTAGGACACATACAAAGAATCACACTTTTTAAATGTAGTGAGTGTGTCAAAGCCTTTAGTAGGAATTCATTTGTTACAGCACACTAGAGAGAAACCCTGTGAATGTGATCAGGGTGGGAAATCATTTAGTCTAAAGTGCAATCTTCTTGTGCACCAGACAATCCATACAGGACAAAAGCTCTCTAAGTGCCAGGACTATGGGAAAGCTCCTATCTTTTTTTTTTGGTACCAAAGATCAAACTCGGGACCTTGCGCTCTGGAAAGCTCCTATCTTAACATATGAAGATTCCCACTGGAGAGAAAAACATTTAGATCAGGGGGATCCCCAGCACCAAGCCACAAACTGGTACCAGTGCATGGTCTGTTACGAGCCAGGCTGCACAGGAGGAGCTGAGCACCGTGGCAGGGAGCAAATCTCCCAGCTGCTCGCCAACCCTGATCTCACCCTCTGAGTTTCACCCACTGGCAGATCAGTGGCAGCATTAGTTTCTCATAGCAGCAGAACTCTACTGTGAGCAATGTAGGTTTCACCCTCCTTATAAGAATCTAATCTCTAATAGGGCCAGGGATTTAGCTCAGTGGTGCTGCCTGCCTTGCAAGTAGAAGGTCCCGAGTTGGATTCCCGGTACCAAAAAAAGAATCTAATCTCTTAATGATTTGAGATAAGTCTGAGGTGATGCTAGTGCTGAGGGATGTAATTATTGTGCATTGCAGTATATACTGTTAAAAAAGAGAAACTGAGACCTACCCCCATTCAAGGTAAATTTATCTTACATAAAGCCAGTCGTTGGTGCCAAAAAGTTCAGAAACTACTTTTTCACATGTAATCTGTGGGAAAAACTTCTGAGGGAAAACTTTCATCATTTTTCATAGGAAAATTCACATGCAAATGAGACAATATGAATGCCAGGAAGGTGTGCAAGTGTTTAGGAGTCTTATAACTCACAGGAGACATGAAAGATCAAACCGGGGAAAAGAAACCTTTTAAATGATGTGAGTGGCAAATCATTTAATAAGAAAGCTTTTCTCAAAATGCACATGAGGATGTACTTTAGAGAGATTTCTAAGTGTAATCTGTGCAGGAAAATATTTTAGCATAGAGTGCAATCTTACTGTGCACTGGAGAATACATACTGGAGAAAAATTAAATGCAGTGTCTTTGGCAAAGCTTTCAGAAAAAAATGTGTCTTTCAGCTGTCACTAGGAAACTCATGATGGATGAAAACCTTCCAAGGGCATAACAGAATAGCTCTACGTGAACCATCAGTCTTTATTTAGACGCATAAGCAAATGCTAACTGATGGGGAAAATGATTTTTGTAAAGAACGTAAGAAAGTCTCAGCAGGAGGATATTCACGTGGGATAAGCCCAAGTTGTCCAATGATTGAGTTAGGTGTCCCCGTGTACTCCCACATGCCTCAGAAGATATGTGAAGACTCAGTGCTAAGGGGAAGTATTTTGAGCATCTGTAAACTCGCTCCTTGAGAAAAATAAAGTTTGACCTATTGTGTTTTTGAGACAGGGTCTCTCGCCAGTGTTGCTCAGACTGACATAAGCTCATTGTATGTCCTGGGGGTGGCATCGAACTTGTGATCCTCCGGCCTCACCCTCCTGAGGGTTGAGATTTTGGGTACTGACACACCTGGCTTCAGCCACCATCTCTGAATGTGTGTGTGTGCATGCGCAGGCGCGCGTGTGTGTGTGCGTGTGTGTGTGCGGTGAAGGGGCATCTCTGGCTTCCAAATAACTGCAGTCAATCACCTCAGTTCCTGTCATTTAAACATTTTTTATTTATGTGTAAAAATTAGGCAAAATTTGATATGTGTGCATATGTGACTTAAAGCTTTTAAAACAGGACTACCATGTGATCTGGCTATCCCACTGATGGGTGTGTGTGTGTGTATATATGTGTATGTGTATATATGTGTGTGTGTGTGTGTGTGTATATATATATATATATATATAATCTCCAAAGAAAATGAAGTCAGGATACAAAAGCTAACTGCCTGGTTGTGTTTATTGTGGCACCACTCAGTCACTAAGATGAAATCAGCTTTTGTGGCAGGCAGCAGATGAGTGGATAATGAAAACACGGTACAGGAACACACGGAGCGCGGTTCAGCCATAAAGAAGAATGAAAGAGTTTTCTTAGCAGGAAAAGGAGCGGAGAGGATAGCGTCAGTGAAATGAGGCAGACTCAGGAAGTTGCACAGTCCGTGTGCGGCACTCGATGTGCAAACAAGACAAAATGGAACAAGTAATAATAGAAGTGAAGAGCAGGATGAAAGGGGACGTAAAGCAGAGGAGATTCCTGGGGATTTGGGGAGGATTCCAGGGAGCAGAGCCGGGAAGGAATCGTCATAAATCAAATGGATTATGTAGAGAAATGTGCATGGTATAGACGTGTCCCACAGAGCGCTTAAATGGGATGTGCAAGTATTGCACACACTTAAAATTTCACGTCTATTTTTTCCTTCCTTTTTATTTCAATTCCTTTCAGATAAGGCTTCACAACATAGACCCTGGGCTTGAACTCACTACGTAGCCTCAGGCAGGCTTAAGCTTTCTGTGATCGTCTTGCCTCCGCCTCCAGAGTGCTGGGGTGGCAGCCGTGTGCCGCCAGGCCCGGCTTCACATCTGGTTTTCTGTTCTCGGACAAATTGTCTCATAACGAGTGCGTCCACTAGGATTGTGGGTGCTTATGTTTTCCGTTTAATTCTGTACATTTTAAAATTCATTATTGTATGCCTTTGGCATATGTGCAGAAATGTATAGGTCCCTGATTTTGTGCCTGATAAAAAGCCTGTGTGAACCATCACTCACTGGTTAAGAGAGAACATTATCAACACCATCAAACCTTTCCTTAATGGTTCTTTTCTGTCCCTCTCCTCCCTGATTTTTGCCACTGGAAAATAAATCCTTCACAAATTCAACACCTGCCCTTTTGATTTCTTTCCTTCCTTATTTCTTTTCTTGTCTCTCCCCAAGCCCTCAATTTCTTGAAATGAAGTCTTGCTAGATACCTCAGACCAGCCTTGGAATCCCTATGTAGCCCAGGCTGGCTATTAACTGGTCCTCAGCCTCCTGAAAGCTGAGATTACTGGTGTGCACCACCATGCTATTTTTTTTTTCCTCCTGTGTGAATGTGCATGATTTTTTCATTCAGTTGTTTTGGGTCTTGAGTTGTTCACAGCTGAGATATTTTATAAGTTAGCTTTGCCATGGACAGTCTGTCCATGTCCTCTGGACATATTTTTGTTGGATGTATATTTAGGTGTGAAAGTTTGAGGTAATAGGACATCTGTTCAACAATACCAACAATTTTCTAAAATAGGTGTGATCGATTTACTTTCAAACAATCTTGCCAATGTATTTCATAATCTCCTTTTTTTTGTTGGCCCCATTGACCAATATGTCATTGTGTACATATTCTGTTTTAATTTGTTTGTTTTTTCTAGACAGATTTTCACTATTTATATCAAGCTGTCTTGAACTGCTATATAGACAGAACTTGACCTTTTAATCCTCCTGCCTCAGCCTCCTCAGTGTTGAGATTACAAGTGTGTGCTATCATCCCTGGGTAGGCTTTTTTTAATTTCTAAAATTTAATTTTGAACAATTTTAGATTCACAAAAATGTTGCAAAATTTGTACAGAGGATTGTTGTATACCCAGTGCTAGATACAATCAGATGGTCATTTGTTTCCTTTAGGGTTAATTTTTTGTTGTTGTTTTTGTCATATCTTTAACAGTGTTTGAGAGAAGGTTTTGCTATGTAGTCCAGGGTGGCCTTGAATTTGAACTCAGAGTTCAACTCCTCCTGCCTCAAGTTCCTGAATACTGGGATTTCAGGCATGTGCCAACATTCCCAGGAAGTATGTTGACTTGATGTCTGTTTTTCAGGTAATTCCTGAAAACTTCTCTAGGTAGCTAGCAAATTAGTTTTCTTTATCACCATCTCTAATGTGACACCTCCGGCCTCATTTGTGAAGAAGAGACTGTAATTTTTTTAAAAAAAGCTCTTTTGAAAGTGCCACTTTGGACTTGGCCCCCTGATACACTGTACACGTCCCTGAATCTGTCTGGGGTCCGCCGGCTGTGGTTCCCTAGTGCTTTAGTGACTGTAATAAGCTAGGATGTTGTTTCAGAAGAATCCTGGCGCCCCCTTGATGTCAGACCCCAGGATCCCAGACCGAGCCGTCCCAGAGGTAAGCAGGAATGTGGTAGGACAGGAATGAGATGTGCTTTGGCTCTCAGGGTCAGGACATCACTGATGGCACTGTGTGCCTTGAAGGTTTGAGCTGCCCTGGGGAATCGATGCCCCTGCACCTGTGTTTAGTGAGGAGCTTTGAAAATCGGACCCTCAGATCCACCAAGACTATAAATAGTCACGGTGATACCAATGTGTCAGTGGCCCTGCTCAGGTCAGAAAGCACAAGGGACCCTCCATCCAGAGAAGATACATCTGTGCAGAGCTTGTTACCTGTTGCCTCATGCGGGACTCCAACTTCCACCTCCATCTTTCAATATTCAGAGAGTAAACGCACAATTCCTTTTTGCTGTATTCCAGGTAATCTGAAGATTGAGGAACAAATGCTATGATGTATTGAAAAGTCTCTCCCTTCTTTCCTCTTTTTGTTTCTCTCTTTGTCCATTTCTTTTTTTTTCTCCATCTCTCCTCTTTTGTGTCCTTCTCCCTCTCTTCCCTCCAATTTTTTCTCCCTCCCTTTTTGTGTTTTATTGGTTTGTTTGTTGGTTTGTTTGAGACATGAGGTAAGAGAAAGGTCAGTTGGATTTCGTTACAAATGAGACTGCAAACTAATTTGTGACCCTCTTAAGATATTTTACTTTTTCATTTTCACATATTCTGCAGACAACTCTTTATTTTTTCCGTCTCATGGATAGTTTTATTAATAAAAACAAGCCCAAACTATACGCAGCCCTGCTTTACTTAGCTCTGAGACCTGATTCCTGAGGTGAGTTCTGTCGTTCTTACCTCCTTTTCTCTCTTACCTGTTTCCCCTCAACTTCCCTCGTAAGCATCCAGGGTTGTGCACAGCTGAACACAAAACTGATGGGACAGTCTTTTCTGTTCCTAGGAGTAGGTACTTTTCTTTAACTCATTTCTCCTCCCGGTCACAACCCTGTACGTTTTTACAGCAGTTCCTGTTAGATGAATGAGAAAATGGAGTCTGGTCAGAGAGCTTCAGGGGTGTCGTGAGCCCAAATCCAGGTCACTGTATCCAAGTCTGTGATTGGATCCATAACCTCATATCCAGGTCTTACACGTGGATGGTTCATGCCTTTGTAGTCATTTGCCTTTCATCAGGGGAAGTCTTTTGTTCAGACACAAAATTTATGAAGCAGAGAGCCCATGTTAGGTGGGTTCATTGCATCGTTCAACAGCGCACATGCTGTGGTTCTGTATTTTATCCCGACTCCTCAGACACTGTTGCAGAAATTCCTTAGGAAAAGCATGTAGGTGTTACGACACTGGTCAGCACATATCAATTCTTTATTTTTTTCTTTTGTTTGAAACTATAAACTTTTCAGTCTTCAAAAAACAAAGTCTTTGTTCTTCAAGGTGATCAGATTTACTTACAAAAATGTGCACGCAATACATCTTCAAAGAAGTTTAACAGAGAGCTCTATGGGAACTAAACATTAAAACGTAATCTGAAAATTCTGTTTTGTTTCCATTATAAGGTAAACAGAGCAGAACATAACTCAAGAAAATTTTCATAGTTGGGGCCTTCTCCGGGGATCAATATTATATTATTTCCATTTATCAAACTTCTCTAATGTAATAGTATTCCTTCTGGTGTGATTCTAATATCTTAATTTTCCAGTGCTACATGGAAAACACACCAAACTGTCGAAGCATGCCAACAATTTCCTTATCGATCCTCATCACAATGTGAATTCTTGGCCCATGAGCTCTGGGAAAAAGAACTGTAATGGATGGGAATGGCATTAACCACAGAGGAGACACTAGAAAAAAGAAGCTGTAATGAAGTGAAACATGTCAAGTGCCTTTAAATTCCCAGTTTCTTCATGACACGATGCTTGTATGTGAAACTATAAACAAATCGGGTATTTTTATTATAGAGTTTAGATTGACATACAGTAGTTATATACAACTTATTTGATTATGGTATAAATAAATTCTTTAAATTTATTCTTATAATTATTATTATTGGTTACTGAACTCAGGACCTTGCACATAACCAGGTAAGTGCCCCAAAGGTACCCGCACATCACCGTCATCCGGGTTTGGGTGTTGCTCTGTGTTTTGTGGAAATCTCGCCTCTCGCGTTCTTCCTCAGAAGACTTGAGAGGAGGTCCGCAGAAAGAGACTCACAGTCGGAAAGTAGTGGTGTTGGGCTGGGGATGTAGCTCAGTGGTTCCGCCGCCTGCCTCACAAGCACAAGGACCCAAGTCCGATCCCCGGTACCAAAA